CACATGGGAGGTGCTGGGTTTGATCCTCAGCACCACAAAAAGATAAATAAAATAAAAATTAAAAAAAATAGAAATGGGATCCTGGGCCCCATTCTCTGCACTTACTGCCCTTCATCATGCTGCCACACTTAATGAGAGGATGCACTTTCAAGGAAATTTTATTTCCCTAAGTTAATATAATTCATTAATAACTGGAGAAACTACCATATTCGTTGCCACAGATGTTATCAGGAAAGTAATTTGCTCACTTTTTTTTTTTTTAGTTTTAGATGGACACAATACCTTTATTTTATATATATATATATATATATATATATTTTTTTTTTTTTATGTGGTGCTGAGAATTGATCCCAGTGCCATTATGATGGCTAATTTTTTAATGTCAACTTGACTGGATTAAGGATCACCCAGAAATCTAGTGAAGTGTTATTCTGTGTGTGTCTGTGAGAGTGCTTCCATAGGAAGTCAACAGGTGGGTTGGATGAGGACTGGGCCGGAATGAGCCATTCTTAGTATGGGCAGGCACTATTAGCCAGAGAGAACAAACACAGAAGGTGAATTGATCTGTCTCCCAACAGCTGGGACATACTCTCCTGTCACAGAAGTTAGAAGTCTGAACTCTGGCCTTTGGACTAGGTCTCCCACTCAGGGCCTCCTCCCTGGGCTCTCAGGCTTTAGGCCTCAAGCAGAGAGGCATCCCAGGAGCGCCAGCTTGCAAATCACCTGCCCTGGCACTTCTCAGCTGCATTAGAGCAAGAATTAATCCCCTAATAAACCTTTATCTACAGATCCTATTGGCTTTGTCTTTCAAGAAAACCCTAACTAATACGTCTTCCTGCATCCTTGTGGACAATTGTATATTTACTTCTAAAAAGAACAACTATTCCCTAATTTGACAACTTAAAAATCTTTATATTTACATTGTTAAATAAACTTTTGTAATTAAGAATTGATATAAGACACACAAGCCAGAAAAAAAGCACTATTATAAGAAAGGATGTGGGCTGAGGTTGTGGCTCAGTGGTAGAGTGCTTGCCTAGCATGTGTGAGGCATTGGGTTCCATCCCCAGCACCACATAAAAATAAATAAATAAAATAAAGGTATTGTGTCCATCTAAAACTTAAAAAAAGAAAAAGAAAGAAAACAAAAAGAAAAAATGTAAAGATCTTGAGAAATTTTCAGAAAGAATATTATAATTAAAAAGATTGCTTTTATTTTTACTAGTTAATTTTTGTTATTCTTTGTGTGGTGTTGATCAAGAACAAATACATTTGGAAAAGTACCAAGAAAGCAATTAATATCTATAGAGAGACTCGTCCCACTTTTTCCATTCTTTCATAATTGGATTTTTCCTGGCTGGAAGTTAACCTCTACTCAGATGTTAAAAAGGTCAAAGGATATACTGTTGGAGAGTGTCTTAGCCTATTCTACCACAAAATACCACAGATTAGGTGTGTCAAACAACAGACATTTGTTTTCTCACAGTTCTGGAGGCTGGAAGTCCAAGATGGGGTGTCTTTGGGGCTGGTTCCTTACAAGGGTTTTTCCTGCAGTGCAGACAGAGCCTTTTTGCTGGGGCGAAAACACTCAGGTATCTCTTCTTATAAAGACACTGTCCCAGCAGACCAGAGCCTAGACTTATGACCTCATTCAATTTTAATTATCTCCTTACTCAGAATACACTCACACTGGGGTACTATAGCTTGGATCTGGAGTGCCTCCCCCAAAGTGCTAAAGGCCTGGTCCTCAGCTTGGTGCTAATGGAAAGTTGTGGAACCTTTGAGAGGTGGGGCCTAGTGGAAGGGTTTAGGTCACTGGGGACGTGCCCTCCAAGGGAATGGTGGGGTGGACACTGGCCTCTTCCTCCCTTCCTTCCTTTTTTTCTCATCTTGGCCTTGAGGTGAACAGTTTGCTCCACTGTGTACTAGTGCCACCTCAACACAGGCCCAGAGCAACAGGGCTCATCAGTTATGGACTGAAACCTTGGAGACTCTTAGCCAAAGTAAAACTTCCCTCAGCGGAAGTGATCTCAGATATTTGTTAGAGTAATGGACAGCTGATTAACCCAGGGGATTAGGGTGTCAACATATGAATTTTGGAGGAACACAGTCAGTCCCTAACAGTAATGATAAAATGTCTTTAAAATATGTTACATAATAATGTGATAAAATATGAATTATAAAATAGGTTATAATATACACTTATATTTTAATGGATAAAAAATTGGAAATATTTAAAATCCACAAGCATAAGAATCATCAGACACTTATTGAATTCCAAACTTTGTTAAATACTATCAGCAATTTACTGACCTCCAGTTTTACATATGATTTAGATTATATAACATACCCCCTGGGGTTAAAACTGTCAGGGAATTAACCTTCAGATACTGACTTAACAAACAGGTTACCGACTGAATTTAATCAGAAATCAAAGAATACCAGAAACAGAAACTGAAACCTGGGGCAAGGAACTTCAAGATGAGAAAAAAAATAAATAAATAACTCCAAGCCAGAATCCAGTCAGTGGTATCTGGAGGGTAAAGTGCATCCCAGGGCAGGACAGGGTCATACCAAATAAGAGTGGGGTCAAAAAATATGTATCCAAAGGAAAGATCAAAACCAGAAGGGTTTTGGGAGGAGAGGAAATCCACTTTTCCCTAATATTTATGGAATGACCGGCACTTGTACATGGAACTGCCTTCTACTTTTGCAGTAGCCAGAAAAGTTGGTGTTGCTTTCTCTCTGCAAATGAAGAAACAGAGACATGTAATGCAATGGTAATGGGGCAGAGGGCAAGAATGTGGGCTGAGATTCAAACCCAAGTCTGCCAGTGGTAGATCCATGCATGCCCCACCACCAGCTTTTCTAATATTTAGAACCTCGAAATGATGATGTTTGACAAAGATTTTCAAGTTCACCTTGTAATGAAAACCAACAAACACCTCCCCAATATAAAAGGTTTGATGAGCCAACAGTTCATAGTAGTTGAACTTAATAAAAATATTTCAATCTCCCTACTTAAAATTTAGGTAACTACCAATTCACTACATAGCTACTCTCGAGGAGTGGGTAACAGATGAATATTGAAATCTTAGTCCATAGCTACATAGTGATATGTGAGTGAATAATTAACTCAGACTACTTTATTGAGATGTTAAAGAAATTTAATCATGTTGGTGTGTTATGTCAGATTTGTGGGACCCAATAGACCTCCAGGAGCCGAATCCTATGCAATCACACAAGAGTCTTTATTGCAAGCTCGAGCCTGGACTCACAACCGTTCTCGATGCAGCGGTCCCAGGAGTGAGTCCCAGGCCTTTGTTCAGTGAGATTTTATAGGTTTTGGGGGGATACCCTATGCGTCACAACATCACACAGCAAATCATTTCATACCACGGGAAAATCAAACAACAACTCTTAACATTGATTAGCACATTCAATGGTGGGAACAAGTTGAGTAGGGGTGATTAGTTAGTACAAGAGGGGGATTCATTTAAACTGATTGGTTTAGGCCACGAGGGGTGTACATGCTAAACGACATGGTTTCACAACATGTTATCAACCACCACAAACTACTTGGGGGTCATCTGGCATTCCTAGTATTTTCCCTGTCTCATGCTGATTGGAGGTTGCTAGGGGGATTGCTATGGGTCCTCACCTAGCCTAACTGAGTCAGGGACACCTGGCATGGCAGACCTCTCCTGTTATTTACAGACAAACAATTCAGTGGGGTGGGTATGTGCTTAGGAGTGCTCTGTGGGTTTTTCCAAAGACAAGGGTCACGCCCCCTTCCTTAGGACAGGCCTTGAGGTAAAAGCTGCTGTTATTTATTTATTTTTAAAATGGAGTCACATCAGTTTCTTAGGTGGAAAAGTTTGATCTTAGAATTCATTGTCTCTGGTTTATCTCTTCCTAATTCACATCAATCATACACTAGTAAGATTTGGGGATCAGCTGTTAACATTCTCCCTTAATTTTCCAAGACCTCAAAGTCAGTCACGTCTACTCTTCCACCATCACCCCTCACCTTGTACCTCTCTTCCACTGAGTCAGGATGCCCTCCTGCTTACCAAGAATGCCGATCAGTCTACCTCTTGTAGTACCTCACATCATCCACTTCTCTTGAGAGGGATGGCACATGTTCCAAAGTATACTGTGCCAGGAGCTAGAGGTGAAATCATGGATCCAATGTCTTGGTGCCTTCAGGGATGCCAATGAGAAAGCCAGGAAGCAAATGTTATTACGCTTCAGATGGTGCTGCTTTCCCGGGGGTCTCGAACATCAGTCCTGCCCAATTTCTCCTTTACAAATCTGCTTAAAGACACACACACACACACACACACACACACACACACACACACACACACACACACACAAGATCTTATAGCTAGGTACAGTGGTGCACCCCTATAAAGTCTCAGCTACTCAGGACAATGTAGAGAGAAGATTTCTTGAACCCATGAGCTCTAGATGCCTCCTCCAATTCTAACATCTTTGAGAGCTCAGCTGTATCACATGTAGTATTTCCTTTTATATTTACAAAAATATTAAGTATGCTGTTGTGTAGCCCTTAACAAAGAACATAGTGTCTGAGATCAGAATGAACCTTCCTCGTGTGTACTGAATAGTTCTGCGGGTGGGGAGGGGGTGCATATCAACATGAGACACACTGCCTGAATTAAAGCAAACACACTAGGATATAGTGATAGGATTGAGATCTCAAGACTGAAGGAATTCTGATTTCTATTAGGTTTCAAATAACTCACATCTTCATTTAGCAAAAGGTTACATAACCAGAGCTGAACCCATGAGACACATTTTTTATCTTCCAGTAGAATTGAAGCTATTCTGCTCTGAGCAAAGATATCACAGTCTGACTGATCTATCAGAGAGCAATATATTAAGCCTGATTACTTCTTTATATAGAAAGCCATTTGTCTTCCATTTGCTATGTTAAGCAAGGTATATAGCAAAAAATTTCCACTGAGTGAAATGTGAAATTTCCATATTTTGATGGAATTTCCATTCTGCTGACAGAGAATATAGAACACATGATAGTATAATAGGAAAATGCCAGAATCTAGCATGCTAGTTTAGCTTTCTATTTACTTGCAAAGGAATCCTGAGTAGATTATTTTATTCTGAGTTTCGCTTTCCTTGTTTATAAAATTATGACAACTTACTTTCCAGTGTTATTTTAAGGATATAAGATACTGCATATGAAAACTATCTTGCAAATTCAAAGTGATAAATGATATTCATAATTACTTACATCATTATATAATTACTTACATCACTTGGATTGCTAGTAAAAATCCTGTCATATTGGTAGAAATTTCAAATAACATCTTTATCAATATTAACTTATTTTTTTTAAGTGTAAGAGTAGGATTTATTCAAGTGTGCATAGAAACAAAACTCCTGCAGAGTGAAAGGGACCCATCAGGGGTTGCCCTATTAATGTGATTTATTCAAGTTAGATTATCAGATCCATAAGTAGAGTCATTACAGTTTTGCATTTGAAGTCTTCCATTTTGCACACTCAAGTTTGCTCATCTTAAAAAATCTCTCCTTCTGCCCCATACTTACTCCTTGATACTGTCATCTGTGTCTCCTTCGGGGTTTTTATGAACAAACTTCATAAAAATACTGTTTATAACCAAGATCTCAAACTCGGAACTGTGACTCAAATAAGTCCATTTGTCAATCTGCCAGTTTGGACCTTTTTTTTCACAATGCTGGAGATTGAGCTCATGGCCTTGTACATACTAGGCAAGTGCTTTAACACTGAGCTATATTACTGGACCCTTTTAAAAAAAATTTATTTGAGACAGGTCTTTCTAAATTGCCTAGGCTAGCCTTGAGTTTGTGATTCTCCTGCCTCAGCCTCCTGGGTAAGTGGTATCCCAGGTATGTGCCACTGCACCTTGGCCATTTGATTTATAAGCAAATGTGAGTGCCTTCAGGTTGGCACTCACATTTGCCATAGACTCATCACTCCCTATTACCTCACTCTAGCCAGTTCACATGCTGATTGATGTTCACTGTCAGGTTCCTAAAGGCATTTGAATTTGAAATCCTTAGCAATAAATTTAACAATATAAATTAACTTAATCACATACTCAAAAATTTCAAATTAATGAAGAAAAGATTTGTACATTGAAACATAATTTACTAACCGAATTAAGCCACAATTTCCAAATACTGTTTCAAACTTGGCCTACAAAAGCAGTGAATTATACACACATAGGGAATTATTAGCTTGGCTTTGCTCACTTGTTTTAATTATGCTGTTCCAAATTCTTTGGAGAAGCACAGAGTCCAATGAGCTGTGTGAAAATCAAAAGAATTAACTTTGTTCTCATTCTTTAGTTCAGCATTTCACCAACAGCACGTTGTAACCAGTGGTGATTCATAGATTCACTTAAATGGTTGCATCTAGAATGAACAAAAATAAAACAGAAAGAAGATATCAGAGAAAATTGCACAAAGTAAAAGTATTGTGAAGTGTTTTTGGGAGGCGGGTACTGGGGATTGAATCCAGGGGTGCTTTACCACTGACCTACATCCTCAGTTCTTTTTATTTTTTATTTTGAGAAGGGTCCCACTAGGTTGCTGAGGGTCTTGTTAAGATGCTGAGACTAGGGGCTGGGGCTGGGGCTCAGTGGTAGCACACTTGCCTAGCATGCTGGAGGCACTGGGTTTGATTCTCAGCACCACATATAAGTAAAATAAAAGGTCTATCAACAACTAAAAAATATTAAAAAAATAAAAGATTCTGAGACCAGTTTTGAACTTGTGATCCTTCTGCTTTAGCCTCCCGAGTTGCTGGGATGACAGACATGTGCCACCATGCTCAGCTTCATAAAACTTTTTTAAAAGTGTGTTTAAAATATACATAATATGAAACTTACCAGTTTAACATTTTAAGTGTATAATTCAGTGGGATAAAGTACATTCATAATGTCGTGCAACCATCACTGATATTTCATGAAACTTCTGCACCAAGTGTTGTTTTTTCCCATTAGAATATTCCTTTTGTTTCTTAAGAAGTTGAGTGTTTTAACCAGCATGGTGGTACACACTTGTAATCCCAGGGACTTGGGAGGCTGAAGCAGGAGAATTGCAAGTTTGAAGCCAGCCTCAGCAACTTAGCAAGACCCTGTCCCAAAATAAAAAATTTTAAAAAGGGCTGGGCATGTTGTTAAGTGCCCATGGGTTCAATCTCAGCTACTCCCCACCCACCAACAAAAAAGAAGTTGAGTGTTCACTGGTGTTGGACTAAAAATAGTGTCCACTTTGCCAGGTCTCCAGGAGCTTACACCCTACTTCAGTGAAATGAACTTATTTTTTTTTTTTATTGTTGATTGTTCAAAACATTACATAGTTCTTGATATATCATATTTCACACTTTGATTCAAGTGGGTTATGAACTCCCATTTTTACCCCCTATACAGATTGCAGAATCTTATCTTATAATATGCTTATGAAACCTCCAATCCCAGACTGGGAAATCTCTCCAAAATCTCTTGATCTCATAGGCTCATTCTTTTTCTCCGTGAGAGCCACTGTCGGGCAGGCAATCAAGGTAGAAATGCTATCTTTTCTCAGGAATACATGATGATTTTATGCCTAAATACATAGGCCAAGTATTTCAGCAGGTACCCACAAGAAACAGGATGAATATAAGCTGCAGCCCCATCCATTCTAGACCAGAATGGTTTTAACCTTCAAAAACCCCACAAATCCAATGTCAGAAGGCTTGACTAAGGAGCCGAGGTCTTTTCTGTGGGTTTCTGTAAACCGGCTATCCCTGTGGTTTTATAAGCACACCGAGGGAAGCAGTTTCACAGAAAATCTCTCTAGATATGATCCTTTTCCCCAAAGTTCCATGTCCATACAACCCTGCATCTCTGGTTTCTTGCTACTTCCTTCCAAAGTCACCCTCCCCGGGGTCTGGTGTACTTGTTCACACAGTTCTACCATATCGGTTCCCAGTGTCCTAGGTTGTAAGCAAGGAGGTATGAGTATCCTGGGAAACAGTCCTCTTTGTGTTTTGAGCAATGCATTATCATGGAATATCTATAATAAATTAATGTATTCATCCACATGTTTTGATTATTGTGGGGAATTAAAAATATGCAAAGCAGGAAGAAGAGCTTTATGAGCCCCCATGTATCGATCACATTCAGCTTCAATAATTTTCAACATACTTGCCTGTCTGTTCATCAATACTTCAGTTTTATATCTTAAATATAATTTTATTTTGAAGAATTTTAAATTTACAGTTACAACCACATACATATACTACACCTAGATTTACCAAGATTTTTATCATTCTCTACACACACACACACACAGCCTTTGTGTGTTTTTCATAAAACTATTTGAGAGAAACTTGTAGGTATCTTGACTTTTCATTCCTAAATAATTCAGATTGTTATTTCCTAAGATCAAAGACATTCTCTTGCATAACCATAAAACAATATTCAGTTCAGGAAATTTAACCTTGATTATAAGACTTGTATAGAATCCATATTAAAATACCAATAATATCATTATAGCAACTTTTACTGATCCAGAATCTACTCTAGGATTACACATTACACTGAATCGGGTTTTCTCCTTAACCTTTAATTTGGAAATGACCATCAATATTTCATTGTACTTTATGACTTTGACATTTTTGAAGAGTAGGAGTCAATTGTTTTGTAGAATGCCCCTGATTTAACTTTGTTCCATTGTCCTTATGATTGCATTTTTGGCAGGAATGCCACTTAACTGAGGTAGTCACAAAGGGAGCAGCACATGAAGTCAGTCAGGATGCCATTACTACTGGTGCTAACTTTGATCACTTGATTCAGATGGGGTCTGCGTATTTATCTGCTGTAAAAATACTCTTTTCTGTTTGAAATACATAAGCAATAGACTTTGAAATGTTTAATAGAACATGTTTCTCACTGTGCTTTCACTCAGTGATTTTAGCATTCATTGATGATTCTTGTCTATAGTGTTCTATTATAGTTGCAATATGGTAATTTTTGAAATAATTCCTTCTTAATTTATTAATCAGCATTCTACTGTAGAGCTTTCCCTTTTCCTTCCTCATCTTTTTTTACTTACCTATTTCTTTTTTTAAATTTAAATATTTATTTGTTTTTTAGTTTTAGGTTTTAGTTTTTTATGTAGTGCTGAGGATTGAACCCTGTGCTTCTTGCATACTACGTGAGCACTCTACCATTGAGCCACAACCCCAGCCCTTACTTACCCATTTCTTTGTATTTCTTATTATCTGTACATGTATATTTTGAATTCAAAGTATTCTAATGTATTGCTGTCATTTATTTTGATACTTTCCCCAAATTTGACCAAGCCAGTTCCTTATGTGTTTCTCTTCTGATTACTTAGTGGCAGGAGATAACTTTACAGCAAAAGTTTTTAAGCACACCTCCTTGCCTCCTAATAAATCTTGGCTCACTGGCCTGTCACCTATTTCCCATCTGGTGTTTCTTCCCTTTAGAAGGCTTGTGGGCAGCACCTCCATCCTTTCTCTTTGGCCTTGGGCTTTTATCACTTTCTGGTTCCTTCCCTATGCTGGCTTAAACCTCCCCTTAGGTTTGCCTGCTTTCTCCCCTCCCGGGCTCTTAGCAGAATTCCTAAAGCAGACTAGGTGCTTATTAATGGGCAAATGAGTAGTTCTAAATCATTAGAAATAAACTTTTGAGTACTATGGCTAAATAAGTGTGCTACATGAGAATATACAGAATGAAACATGTTTATTTTTCACAGAATATACAGGAAGAATGAAAAAACGTTCTCAGCAACTGAAACACTGACCTTTAAAAGGGAATGATGTTTTGCTTTTCTCATTGGTTAAATCAACATTCATTCATTCAACAGGTACCTATAGTGTTACAGAGATCACTGAGCTGCATCTGGCCCTGGGAAACTGATCATTTTATTGGAGTGACAGTCATGTCAATTGAAAATTAGAGTGTAATATAATAAAGCTTTAATAGAGCTATGAACGAAGCACAAAGAGGACACAGAAGGCAAATCAACCATAGACAGAGAAGAGATTTAAATGGTTGACATTTGAGCAGTTATTTGAAGAATAATCAAGGGAATACTTGTGGCAAGGGAAATTGCATTCTTTAGAATCTAGGGGCTCATGAAAGCATCATACATTTAAAAAAGAAATTCTTTCCTCTCAAATGCAGTACTGGGGATTGAACCCAGGGCTCTGGAGCATGTGAGGCAAGCACTCTACTACTGAGCCACATCACCATCCCTGTGTTTTGTTTTTATAGGACTTATCACAAAGTCCTATAAAAACAAAATTTTGATTTGCCTTTCAGTAAACTGTATAGTCTACAGTGCAAAGCTTGTGCTACATTCCAGAGTAGCCCTAGCAACTCACCCAATGTCCTAAAACATGTTTGATACATGAAGGTGATCGGAAAGTTATGATGTCTAACCCCACAGAGTAGGAAAGGTAAGTGACTAGGTGGATGGAAGACAGGCTAGGACTTGTTTTGTGAAGGGCCTTCTTTCCATGAAAGAGAGTTGGTTTTACCTGTAGGGAAAACAAAACAAAACAAAACAAAAAACAAACAAACAAACAAGGAACCAGTGAAGGCCTTTAATGAAAAGGTGGTGACAAAATTTTTAAGGAAATGCTTGTTGGCACTATGAATGATGGATAGTAACAGAAGGCAAACATACTAGGGAGAGGGAGAAATGTTTTAATTCATTTTTTTCTCCTGAATTATCATATATGCTTTCAATATTAGAGGAAAACTCAATCTTAGGTGATTATTATCTGTAAAAATATAGCTATGAATATTTAATTTACGATTTTTTTCGGATGTGACAGGTATTACAAAGGAGAAGACATTGATAAGGATGGCATTACACATTACACATCTTGGAGGAGTCCAGGAGGCTTTCTTCCAAAATGTAGACCTGTCAGAATTTGAACATTATGGATAGGAAGGAACAAGCAGCACAGGTAAATAAGACCACGAATAGACATACCCAAACCCTCCACCATGCTAGGGGCAGAACCCAAAGCTTAAATCCAAAATAGTCTACCGCCCCCCCCACCCCCGTGCTTGAGGGGGGAACCCATGGCTAGGCAAGCACTCTAGTATTAAGTCACATTCCCTTAGCCCAACGCCTTTTTAATGGGGACGGGGGAGGGAGACCACAAAATTCGAAATAATTCATGTATGATATATATCATCAACAGCAAGGATACAGAAAACCAGGGAATAAGCTTAAAGGAAATGCTTTGTGGTTTCCCCCCTAAAATTGATAAGGGAGGGTAAGACATTCTTGTTTTGGAAGAGTCTTTCCATTCTCGTTGAAATCGCACGGAGTTTTCGTGGACCCCGCTCAGGAGCTACTGAAAACACCTTTAGTTTCTCTGATCCAACCCTTCATCCACATTCCTCACTTGCAAAAGCCAGTCTTCCAGACCCAGGGCCTCGCTGGGGGCGGGGAGGGGACTCAGGGCCAAGGTCGCCATCGCCAAAGGCGCGAGGGTCCAGGATAGGGGTCGCGGTCCCGATGGGCAGGGTTGGGAAGGGGTTTCCGTCCTGAGGCACGCAGGCAAGAATGGAGTCCAGGCCCTGGGGAAGCGACACAGGAACCAGTCGCAGTGGTGGTGGGGGACGCAGGCGTCCCTCTGTCGGTGGGTGGCACCGGGGCAAGGGCAGGGGTCGAGGTATCGGGGCAGGGAACAGAGGCAAGCGTCGCGGTTACGATAGCGTCCTCGACCTGAGTGTTCTCTGCTGCCTATGAGAGGTATACGCAGCGACCGCAGCACCAGGGTCACGTCGCTCCCAA